TGACTCAAGACCGTCTTCGAATCCACCATTTTAAAATCAAGGAATCGACCAACAACAAATTTCTTTGCGCCGGCATCCTCGCTTTTATATTTGTGGTCCAAAGCATTCCATAGCTCCTTAGCCGTAGCTAATTTGCTATAAACGTCGTACAAAGCATCGTGCAGCCCGTTCAACACATAGTTTCGGCAAAGGAAGTCCGAATGCTTCCAAGCTTCAACCGCATTGAAAGATTGCGCATCCACCTCACCCCCGGTTACAACCGGCGCGTCCTCGGTCAAGAACCTCGCAAGACCGAGAGTAGTGAGATAAAATAGCATCTTTTGCTGCCACCTCTTGAAGTTTAACCCATTGAATTTCTCGGGTTTCTCCACAGAGTTGCTTGGCACGGTAACCATAGGGATTGCCCCTTGGTTGCCCAAAGCAGATGCACCGCGTTGTAAACTATTGTTCACCGGAGCTCCGCTTTCAGAATGATTATCGTTCGGCACGTTCTGCCCACCAACATTCTGGTTTTCTTGAGAAGTCATTTTCGTTTTCTTAACGTTTTTCCGAAAACACAAAAAAAAGATTTAAGTTCGTTCACAGAAGTGACAAACTACAGTTGAAGATTGTATCCGTATGATACAAACTTAGCAACAAAATACGTTTTAAGATTGTTGGGTGTGTTTCGGAAAATAAAGAAAATTAATTAAAAGAAATTAATTAAATAAAATGACAAAAGAAAACAGAAATGAGATGGAGCAGAAATTTGTCAAAGCTCGTGCTACGCACGATGTCCTTAAAACGTATTTGTTGCCTCCCACGGTGCTAGGAGCGTTGCAACAATAGTTTCCCAGGATACGATGACAACGAACTAATGTTTGAGCACACAAACAAGAGTTCCAACGAACGAGAACAAAGACTGAACACAGAAGGAATTTTCAGAGTGCTAGCAGTGTGTTTTTAGAGCTAAAACGTGTATGGAGTGCAAGAATGCGTGTAAGAACGTGTATTGTTGCAAACCACCTGCCAGCCTTTATATAGGAGGATTTGTTGTATGAAAATAGTGAATTAATGGACCTGAACGTTGGACATCAATGACCAGTCCGTTGGGCATTGAATCGTCCATGAACTGTCCATTTAACGCTGCATTAAAAGATAGAAACCATCAGAAGACCCCTGCGTAGTTCTGCCCGAAGGTCATCAGAACTGGAGCAGTTCTGATGCGCGGTCATCAGAACCGGAGCACCTCTGGTCGTGGCCTTCTGCCCGGAGCAATTCTGCTAACTGGGAAAAATATATGTTTCGGGAAGAAAACAAAAATTACCCGTATCTCTTGAGAGATGGATTTTTGGACGACATTCGTGTCCGCAGGTCGCCCCGCGCACGCAAGTCGCGGTTTTTCTTCTCCGAATTCGGGATTTGATTTGCACCCCCCCCCCTGCGCGCGTGGAGAGAGCCTCTACCCTAAGGAATCTTAACTCCTTAAGGGGGGAGTCCCTTTATAAAGGGTTGCAAATCCCTTGGGTTTTCCGGTGTGGGAAATTAACACTAGAAACCCATCCTTTTTCCCAGTTTTTCCATTCTAACGGGTAAACTTCGAAAAGCGATTTCTCATTCACCCGTTATCCGTTTTGAGCGTACCATATATCGAATTGTAGCCCTTAACAAGGACAATCCGAAACCACTTTGACCCGACCCAAATCGGAAGTGGACCCCACTCAAAAAATTGCCCCAAAATAGCCATTTAATGCAATTTTTCACACATTTTTCCAACAACAATTGAGTGATAGTTGATATTGGTTGTCGTAAGTAACACTGCTAGTTAACAGTAGAGAGAACAACATGGTATCCAACAGAAAGATCAAACATTTTGATCCACATATCTGTTGGGGTTGTGAATCGTGATTACAGGAGCATACCGATTACCGACCCAAGTCTGTATCATCCTGCCTACGCCATTGTTCGTATACACTCAAATTGTATATCATGTGTTGTAGTCTTGAATCATGCATGACAAAATGTGTTGATCGCATCATTGCATGGACAAGTGCTATTGTGCTAACCAACTATATGAGGTCTATGTAAGTGGGAACAATTAACTACAATCATTCAACAATAAGATCCAGTATATGAAAAAAGCGTGCATTGACATTAATTTAAGGGAAATCTGTCAAATAGGTCCTCGAACTTTCATAAAAAGGTCAAATAAGTCCTTATATAGGAGGCTCTGTCTGGTCGTCGCGATTTGGGACGGTTCCCGGTGGAATTTTTTGAGCATGTTATTCATTAAGTCTAGTTTACTCATACCAAATTTCAGCTAAAACGTCAATCGAGAATGCATTCAAATTAATTCTTGAAGATAACTGCGCATTTAACTGCACAGTTATCTTCAAGAATTAATTTGAATGCGTTCCCGATTGAAGTTTTAGCTGAAATTTGGTATGACTTGATGAATAAGATGCTCAAACAATTTCATCAAAATTTTTTACTGGGAACCGCCCTAAACCGCGATGGCCGGACAGAGGCTCCTATATAAGGACTTATTTGACCTTTTTATGAAAGTTCGAGGGCCTATTTGACAGTTTTCCCTTAATTTAATTAAATGATAACTACGATTACAAATTGCATTGACAATAATGTATACCTTCTCACGGTAATGAACTTTTTCATTTTCTATGAATACCCGGTTGATCTAGCTATCTGATCTATTTAGAAAGCGTTGGAATAAGAACTTCGCTAAGTCTAATTAAACTACACTTTTTAGTAGGAAAGTACTCTCGATATATAGAGTTTGTTAATTTGATACTCCGTAATTTAGTTCTCATTTAAGGATTTTATTTCATTTATTGGAAAAGGTATGTTTGGTGATGATTGATATGTCAAATGTCATTGGGGTAACCTGTCTATATATCCTGAATGTAGCACATTGTTAGGATATGTAGCTAAATAGATTTTGTTGATGATGTGAGTACAACGTAAATAGGATTTCAAACTTCCATCCCGTATATATGTATTTTTTTTTGGAAGGACTTTGTAATGGCCAAGTAAATTTTGGAAGCCTATAGCTACAAATTTAAACGCGGACAAACAAGAACTTTAGTATAAAAATGTTGCAAGTGCAAGAAAAGAAGTCAAAGTAAACTTTAATGGTGTTTGGATCTTATTCTTAAAATTGCTTCTGATCCTTCACAGCGCAGAAACAAATATTGGAGTGTTTGGATGAAAGTGTAGAAATACTTCTGAATGCTTCAAATTACTCATAGAAATAGTTTTTTAGAAGCCGGGGGAAACCCGCTTCTCAAAAACCGATTTTGATTTTGCTTCTACTTTTAAAAAAGAAACAGAAACAGTTTCAAACACCCTCCTAACATACCAATTTATGAATTAGTTTGGTATGTTTAAGTATAGAATCATGAATTTGCACATCAGATACCGAGAAAGCCATTCACGCAGGTTCTACATTTGACGACTTTTCATTTTTTGTTTGTTGCAAAAGTACCAACTTGTAGAGTATATATCCTTCAAATAAAAAAAGTAGAGCAACAAACTAAAAGCTAAACAAAGTATTTAGCTAATATATATAGGGGGCGTAGCCAGATTATAGTATACACAGATGGCCAGGTTGTTGGGAAAAAACACTCCGGACTTTCCCGCTTCGTGAAGTTAAGATAGGCACTTAGGAAATAAGGTAGCAATGGGAGCACACGATTTAAATTCTCCAATATGGAGATTCTTCCACTATACAAAAGAATAGTAGGGTATACAAGGATGTTACAAAATTGTCTCACTCAATGGTGGCTCACTCAAGCTTGAGGATAGGAACTTCCCAAGCTATCTCTCTTCTCTCTCAAAGAGGCTCTCTAACTCTCTAGCTTTCTCACTCTAAGAAGTGGATTCTCTCTTGCTAGGATTGTTAGGAATGGAGGCTCCTACTCCTATTTATACAACTCCACCTCCATAATGAGTGGTGGAGAGTAGTTCTCTAGAATGATCTACACATGACTACCTATTCTAGAGAATTCCAAGGAATCTCTACGCCTCTCCATTCTCTTCCATATGCTTCCATACTCTTCCATAGGCTTCCGAAAGGTTCCACACATCTCTAGAATATTCTAGAGGATTCCACACTGTTCCACAAGCTTCTAGAGAGTTCTAGACTTCTCTAGGATTCTCCGGAACGTTCTAGAAAATTCTATACTTATCTAGAAAGCTCTAGAATTTTCTAGAACCTCTCCAATTAAGGAGGGATCCCAACAAATCTCCCCCTCACGACTTAATTGGGGGGTAGTAGCAAACCTGCACCTTGACAGCAATCTTCGAACTTCTTTGTCGGTATTACCTTGGTCATCATGTCTGACCAGTTCTCGTCGGTGTGAACCTTGTCAAGATGCAATTTCTTTTCCTCGAGGACTTCTCGGATCCAGTGATACCTTGTGTCAATGTGCTTTGTGCGGGAATGAAATGTTGAGTTTTTGGCCAAGTAAATTGCGCTTTGATTATCACACTTCAACACGTACCTTTCTTGATCTATTCCCAGCTCGAGTAGAATGTTCTTCATCCACAACATCTCCTTGCAAGCTTCAGTAGCTGCGATGTACTCTGCCTCTGTGGTGGATAATGCAACACACTTTTGCAGCTTTGATTGCCAGGAAACAGCTCCCCCTGCAAAAGTAGTTAGGTAGCCCGATGTTGATTTCCTTGAATTAATATCACCGGCCAAGTCTGCATCTGTGTATCCTTCTAACACAGGTTTTCCTTTTCCAAAGCATAAACATCTTTTGGAAGTTCCTCGTAAATATCGGAGGATCCATTTGACCGCTACCCAATGTTCATTCCCAGGGTTGGCCAAGAAGCGACTGACGACTCCAACTGCATAGGCGATATCTGGTCTTGTGCATATCATTGCATACATGAGACTGCCTACTACCGATGAGTATGGAATCTTCTTCATTTCCTCCATTTCTTTCTCATTTGTTGGACTTTGCTTCGAACTCAACCTGAAGTGTCCAGCAAGTGGTGTGTTTACCGGCTTTGATTTGTTCATGTTGAATCGTTCCAACACTTTCTCAATGTACCTCTCTTGGGATATCCACAACAGTCTCTTCGATCTATCACGAGTTATTCTCATCCCAAGGATTTGTTTAGCCGGTCCCAAATCTTTCATGGCGAAACTCTTGCTTAAATCCTTTTTCAAGGCATCTATCTTTATGCGATCTTGTCCAATGATCAACATATCATCAACATAGAGTAGAAGTATGAGGAAGTCGCCACGTTCATACCTCTTTATGAAGACACAATGATCGCTTTTTGTCTTTGTAAAGTCATGCTCTGCCATGAAGGATTCAAACTTCTTGTACCATTGCCTCGGTGCTTGCTTGAGGCCATATAAACTCTTCATGAGGCGACATACTAGATTTTCCTTACCCGGAACTTTGAAACCCTCGGGCTGCTCCATGTAGATCTCTTCCTCTAGGTCGCCATGAAGGAATGCCGTCTTGACATCGAGTTGTTCAATCTCCAAATCTTGAACTGCTGCTAGGCCAAGGACAACTCGGATGGATGACATCTTTACCACGGGAGAGAATATTTCCTCAAAGTCGATGCCTTTTTCTTGACCGAATCCTTTGACCACCAACCGAGCTTTGTAGCGAGGCTTTGAGCTACTCTCTTCAGTCTTGATTCGATACACCCATTTATTCTTCAGGGCTCTTCTCCCTTTTGGTAGCTCCACAAGTTCATAAGTGTGATTCTCATGCAAGGATTGCATCTCTTCTTGCATGGCTTTTCTCCACTCTTCTTTATGAATATCATTGATTGCTTCTTTGTAACTTTGCGGCTCCCCCTCATCCGTGAGTGTAATGTAATCTTCGGTGTTATACCGGATGGATGGTCTTCTCTCCCTAGAGGATCGCCTCGGCTCTGGTGCTGGCAGAGAACTAGATTGAGGATCTTCCTGATTTGATTCATCATGAGTCTCTTGGTTGCTTTGCTCATGGTTTTCATCATCATTATCTTGATGTGTGTCATCCTCACGTTGAATTGGAGTAAGTTCGGTGTTCTTGCTTCTTCTCAATCTTGGCTTCTCCGAGTTCTTAATATCTTCAATCGTTTGATCTTCGAAGAAGATGACATCTCTGCTACGAACAACCTTCTTATTGATTGGATCCCATAGCCGATAGCCAAATTCATCCTTGGGTGAGCGAAGGTAGATACACTCCTTTGTCTTTGCATCAAGCTTTGCTCGCTCATCTTTGGGAATGTGAACAAATGCCCTGCACCCAAACACCTTAAGATGATTGTATGAAGCCTTTTTGCCCGTCCAGACTTCCTCTGGGATGGCGCCGTTCAAAGGAACCGATGGTGTGAGGTTGACAATGTCAACTACGGTCATTATAGCTTCTCCCCAAAATGATTTGGGTAACTTAGCATGAGAGAGCACACAACGCACTCTTTCTTCAATAGTTCTATTCATTCTCTCAGCTAACCCATTCAGTTGTGGTGTCTTGGGTGGAGTCTTCTCTAGCCTAATGCCATATTTCTTGCAATAGGCTTCAAAGGGACCTCTATACTCACCTCCATTGTCCGACCGTACACACTTGATCTTCCGGCCGGTCTCACGTTCTACCTGAGCGTGGAATTCTTTGAAGGCGTCAAGCACTTGATCCTTGGATTTTAACAGGTGCAACCACACCTTCCTTGAATGATCATCAATGAAGGTCACGAAGTACAATGCACCACCAATGGATCTCTCGGACATTGAGCACACATCGGTGTGTACAAGGTCGAGGATGTTCTTTCTCCTTGTGGGCGGAGAAGATCTTTGGAAAGCAACCCTATGTTGTTTTCCAGCTAAACAATGTGCACAAGGATCGAGTGAATTACCTTTCATGTCCGGGAGGAGATGCTTGCGAGCGAGTATGTGGAGTCCCTTCTCACTGATGTGTCCAAGTCGTTTGTGCCATACCTCCATGTCATCAGTGGTTATATTTACTTCCCCTTTGCAGAGCTTGGCTTGCATCACGTACAATGAGCCTTCCTTCTTTCCTCGAGCCATGACCAGACTTCCTTTGGTGAGCTTCCATTTTCCTTCACCAAAGTAGTTCATCAGACCAGCATCATCTAACTTTCCAGCAGAGATAAGATTGAGACGCATGGCCGGGACATGCCTCACATCCTTGAGCACAAGCTTACATCCGGTGCTAGTTGTTAGGACGATGTCTCCTATCCCAACAATCTTGCTTCTATCTTGGTTTCCCATTTGAACCGTGCCAAAGTCACCGCTTTGGTAGGATGAGAAGAAACTTCCATGGGGAGTGACATGGAAGGAAGCACCAGAATCGACAATCCAAGAGCTGTCATCACAAGCAATGTTGAGAATATTACCTTCTCCAACAAGATATAGCAGATCTTCTTTTGCGGCCACCACAGTGGTACTCTTCTCTTCATGCTTCTTGGTTGGGCTGACTTGGTCTGGTTTGACGTTACCGGCCTTTTGGTCTCTCTTGAGGGATCGACACTCCATTTTCCTATGGCCCATTCTTCCGCAGTAGTAGCATGTAATCTTCGAGCGTGACTTGGACCTTCCTCTAGATTGATATGGATCTCGGTACTTACTGCATCCACGAGTCTCATTCCTACCCCGGTTCTCAATAACATTGGCCTCGGGATGGATTGACTCACCTCGTTCCATTCTCCTTGCTTCTTCTCCAAGAAGACTATCACTGACGGTATCCATGGTTAGCTTTCCTTCCGGAGCTGAGTTACTAAGCGTAACCACAAGTGTGTCCCAACTTTCCGGCAAGGAACTCAGGAGTAGAAGGGCTTGCAACTCGTCATCAATCTTCATCTCAATTTTGGTTAATTGATTTACGAGCCCCTTGAAATTGTTAAGGTGCTCAATCATACTATGACCATCCTTATACTCCAACTTCACCAACCGTCGAACTAAATTGGCCTTATTACGAGGTGTCTTCTTTTGAATCATGGACTCAAGCTTAGTCCATAATTCATAAGCATTTGTGTAAGTAGAAACATGCTCGAAGAGAGATTTGTCTATGTACTTACGGATCATAGCAACGGCCTTGCGATTGAGTAGCTCCCACTGGGCATCACTCTTGCCTTCAACCTTCTCTTTGTAGATGATGGGCTCATGCAAATCCTTGCAGTATAAATGATCTTCCATCATCGGTTTCCAATATGAGTAGTTGTTGGCGGTGAGCTTGAACATGTCTCCATCATGAGCGACGTTATCCTCCATCTTGAACCTGGCTCTGATACCACTGTTGGGAAAAAACACTCCGGACTTTCCCGCTTCGTGAAGTTAAGATAGGCACTTAGGAAATAAGGTAGCAATGGGAGCACACGATTTAAATTCTCCAATATGGAGATTCTTCCACTATACAAAAGAATAGTAGGGTATACAAGGATGTTACAAAATTGTCTCACTCAATGGTGGCTCACTCAAGCTTGAGGATAGGAACTTCCCAAGCTATCTCTCTTCTCTCTCAAAGAGGCTCTCTAACTCTCTAGCTTTCTCACTCTAAGAAGTGGATTCTCTCTTGCTAGGATTGTTAGGAATGGAGGCTCCTACTCCTATTTATACAACTCCACCTCCATAATGAGTGGTGGAGAGTAGTTCTCTAGAATGATCTACACATGACTACCTATTCTAGAGAATTCCAAGGAATCTCTACACCTCTCCATTCTCTTCCATATGCTTCCATACTCTTCCATAGGCTTCCGAAAGGTTCCACACATCTCTAGAATATTCTAGAGGATTCCACAAGCTTCTAGAGAGTTCTAGACTTCTCTAGGATTCTCCGGAACGTTCTAGAAAATTCTATACTTATCTAGAAAGCTCTAGAATTTTCTAGAACCTCTCCAATTAAGGAGGGATCCCAACACAGGTATAGTATACAACTAAACACTGGGCGTCTGGGCTGATGATCAACACAAGATTTTTTTGAATCATTTTTTACAAGAAATTAAAACTATGTTTTTTTTATTGAGGCCTAGCTACCTCCGCTCCGGTATAAATATAGAATTATTAAAATGAGTAAAATAAAAATACGGCATTCAAGCAAATAGGTATACACACATACATACTGTATATGATATTGTATTTTGATTTTATAAATGCATTTTAAAAAATAAATTGTGTTGATTTAGAAAAGAGTGTATACGTATTATATGTTGAAAGAATGGTTAAGACTTGAGCGTCCATGAGTGAAGAAGTGGAGGAGCGTGCTCTGATTAGGGCGTGTGAACTGGCGATGGATATGGGTTATGAAGACTTTCAGGTGGAAGGTGATGCGATTAACTCCATCTCCTTCATTTCAGGTAATGTCAACGAGCAGGAGATAAGTTGTTTTTGGACATTTAGAAATCGGGCTAAAGACAAGGGTCCGGTTTTCGAACACACATTGCGAGAAGGAAACTACGTGGCCCATTTCTTAGCTGAACTTGGTGAGGCCCAGTTAATCTTGTTTAATCGGGTGGACCAACTATCAATTCGGGCAAAACAGAGTTATTATGCTGATTTATTTGGATGGCCGCATTTTAGAGTATAGTTGTAATTTTCTCGGTGGTATGCCATCCAGGAATGCTTCATTTATCTTCTTCTAGTTTTTTATTCAACGCTTTCTTGATTGAGAGGTATTGGTCTTCCCCCTCTCATTTTGTACTTCGTTTTTTAAATCAATAAAATCTGGAAAATGTCCCCCGTCATTTGTCCCACTGATTTTGGTGGTTTGCCTTCCGGGGTAAAAAAATGGTTAAAATTTAAGACATCAATTTGCATGGAAGCAAATAGATGTATACTACTCCCTCCGTCCCCGAAAGAAGTTCCCCATTTGACTTTCACACACTTTTATGCAAGTGAACTTACCAGGGGGTAAATTTTACTGTTTTGACACTGTTTGACACTGTTTTGATGTAAATAACTTTCCATTTAAGGAAATGGGAACTTAAATTAGGGACATCTAAATAAGGAAAGTGAGAACTTCTTTCGGGGACGGAGGGAGTATTAATTTAAGCAAAGAAAATTAATGTATAACCCATTTGTGTTTGGTTACGAACTTACGATTAAAGGAATGTAATGTCACATTAAGTTGTTTGGTTGAATGATATCTCATATTGCATATTTGGTGAATTACTTGAATGGCCTTTAAATATTTGTCTCTTAGCACATTAAACTTATTACAACCTAGAATTAAAGTAATTATAACTATAGAAAAATAAAACATCTTAGTAATAATTAAAATCAAAACTAATTGAATTAATTCTAAGCAAAGTATATTTAATTGCACAAATGAATTAGATTGGTGAACATTCGTAAATAATTTTAAGCAAAATATGTTTAATTGCACAAATGACAAAGATTAGTGAACATCAGTAGCAAAAAATACTTGTAATAGATTAGTCTCTTAATTCACTTTTCCTTTTTCCTATGTTACCTGTTTCTTTTTTCAAAGGAAAAAAGATGACATCTTTGCCTAGCTTTCTATAGTTCACAATCTTCCCATCCTCTGTAGATTTGTCTACATGGAATTAATCACCCTATCTTCATACACGTACCTAATTCACAATTTTCCCACCCTCAATGAAATCTTCCTATATTTCACAATCTTCACAATTTGTGCTCCTTTAATCACCCAATTCACACGGAATTGGGTGATTAGTGAGTTTGACATGTTTGGTCATGTCATCACCTTTTTGACTTTGAAGAAAGTAATATTCCCAAAAAAAATCAAACCCGCGAACCAAACACATGTATCTTACATTTCGGGCATGAGATTGCGCCCTGAATAAGATATTACATTGAACCAAACACAGCCTAAGGAGTTTCTTAAGATATACTCCGTATTATAAAAATACACATGATAAGTAACGTTCGTTGGAACATCATCTCAAATCTTATGTAATTTCAACAATCCAAATTAAGGAGGTTTAAGTTATATCCAGTCCAAATACACATGTAACAAAAATCCACTCTAGAATTAGTAGTGCGACAATTTTTAATTTTGAAAAAAAGACTATTATATTTCGTTTTAAAAAATGTTTTGGCTTACACTCCAACACGTTTGAGGTAAATGTGGTGTTCTCACGTTCTCACGTTAAGCATTGTTCTCATTTGATCTTTATTCTATATATATATATATATATATATATATATATATATATATATATATATATATATATATATATATATATATATATATATATATATATATATATATTACTTCAGGGGGGTCTGAGGAAGGGGGGCTGGGGGGAGCCTGGAGTAATAGGGGCTGGGGGAGGGGCCCCTATGTGCCTAGCGGGGTTCGAACTCAAGACCTCTCATTAGGCACGTTAACCTCGCAACCAGCTGGACTGGAATGTTTGGTTGCTTATTCTATTATATTATAATTGAAAATCAATATTCATTTGACTTTATTTAGCACTCCAACTTTGTAGAAATGAATAGCTTCCTTTCAAGATAAATAATGTGGGGGCTCCCGGCAACGGACAAGTTCGTCAACTAGTCATGATATTATTAAGCAAATTATCATTATGAAGTAACAAAATTAAAGTTTGTGACGCAACACAAGTGATCTGAGTTAAATATCAAATATATTCTTGGAGAAAATGATTAATTGTATTATTGTGAAAGGAATTGAAGAGAGGAAGAAGGTGGATCCACCTCATTTAGATAGAAGATTCTCCTTAATCATACAAAGAACAACCAGACAAAAGCTAGGATGATAAACACATTATCAACAAGCAATGGACGAACAAATTTGTGAGAATTGAAGCACTACCCAAAATTCTGAGAACTTCTAAATGAGGAGGACCGATCGATAATCGAGTTATTGAAACCAACTAGACCATTATTTAAGCCAATGATGTGCAAGCAATACGAAAACACTGAGAACCACTAATCCTTGAGCCATCATGCCAAGTACTCAAAAACAACTGACCAGAATCCCCTATTGCATTCGGCTCTTTTTTCTTTGACAAAAAAAGCAAGCTTTAATGTGACAATATTAAT